CCCAAACAGACAGCTGCTTGCAGAGGAGCCCTCGCCTAGGCACGTCAGGAGGCATCTATATGAACTGACGGACGAAGTCCAGAGGTTCATCAAGCAACCTCCGGACCCGACTGCTTACCGACAGGCCCTGAATGGCATTCACAGGGAGTCAGTCTCGAGTTATGTAGACTCCAGACCTGTGAATGCCGTTCTAGGCATACCGCCCCCGGACACAGACGAGACGGAGCTTCATCTGCCTCGGGAGACGCGTACAACACTAACACAACTTCGCTCCGGCTACTGCAGCAGGTTAAACTCCTACCTGAGTAGATTGAATGAGGATGTGCCGAATGAGTGGTCGGCATGCGGAGAGACCCCACATGACTCGAAGCATGTCTTCGCATGCCCGGAAAACCCGACAACCCTAACGGCCTTGTCCCTGTGGACCAACCCCACAGAAGCTGCACGCTTCCTAGGGTTGCTGTTAGTGGAACTTGACAACGACTGAGATACCAACCGTCCTGGGCGAGGTTGTTGTAGCCGCTACAACAACAACAACAACAACAACAACAATTGTCGATTTTTCTATAAAATTTCACTGCCAAAATTGTCGGCGACATTTTTTCTATTTCATATGTGCTGACAATTGCCACTCTGACAAAATGTACCTGTGTACTCTTGTAACCGGTAAATTCTGTTGCCATTTCATAAGTATTACCCCGTGAAATATACAATGCTAGAATTTCCACAATTCTACATTAGCTGAATTGCTGAATATTTTAACCGCATTACCAACGTACCTAGAATCGCGGTGACAATAATTCGTAACATTTTTTGGTAATAAAGTTTTCCGCTTACAAAATTTTCTGTAACGTGCAGAATAGACCTGTTTAGAAAATGGAGACGTGGGGCTAAGAGGGGTGGTGACAATTGTTTTTATGAAACAAAACACCCACCAAACTGTCGAATTGGAAAATGCCTGAAATAGACAAGAAAAAGGCACCAAAAACCGAAAAATAGGCAAAAGAAGCATTTGATTGGATTATATAGGGATCGATAGAAATCAATGAAATCAAATCAAATCAAAGAAAAAATTCCATAAAGTATCAGCTCATCTAAATAATTAAAGTTTTAAACATTTTTGATTTTTTTTTGTTATTTAATATTAGTTAATTTTTTTATAAAAAGATGGTTTATTATATAACAAAAACCATATTAAAACTGTGTGTAATATTAAAAAAATGCAATAAATGTTTTTGATTAAATTTTTTAGAAGGATTTTGAGTATGCAGTTTTGTAGCCCATTCAATTTTAGTATAACAAAGTACAAGTTTGAACTAACTAGGGCTCTCCGTTGATTTTTGGCATTTTTTTTGGTTAAAGCTGTTCCTTATTTTTTTCCATACAAAAAAATCCTCGCCCTTTACTACTATTGAATTTCTACACTAGCTTGAAAGCAGGCGTATCCAAAATAAACTGCTATTTTTTATTCATTAATGGGACAATTCATCTAAAGGCGTAAATGCCTTCTTACAATGTAAACCTAGTAAAATTACTTAATTTTGTACGGAGGCATTTACACGTGTCCATGAATACCCATACCATTTCGCAGAGTGTGTATATTTTCAATCAACGAAAGCTAAATCTTGGTAATTTTTAATCGAAAAAATTGCTCTGCCTAACAACAGAAAAGCTGCAACTTCCTTAAAATCCGTTTCCTAGTTATGACCAAAATAACCGTAAATGGTTTAATTTAGAACAAAAACATTTTGTTTGCCTATTTCGAACATATTTTTGTCAAGCGTGTAAGTTAAATGAAATATTTATAAACTAGCCGGTCACGGATGCGCGAGGCTTCGCCACGCGCTGAATGTATGCATATGTAGGTACATTTACGTATTTGGAGAAAGAAATCATATGTCATCATGTACTTCGTATATTATATATATAAAAAAATTTGTCTAAATCCGTTCAGTAGCGTGGTTAAAATATCTCGCCTTCCCTTTATACTATACACAGAAGCTAGTAATATTAAACAGGTGGTAACCCTACTAAAAAAACCTAAAATTTTTATACATGCGAAGGCCATGCACTTTCATTTGGTATCTCATTTTTTTATCCAACGGACAGTGAAGATCTTATAGTTTTTAAACAGGTGGCAACCCTACTCAGAAAAAGAATATATTATTACACATCCAGAGGCTAAGTCTTCATGGTGTCGGTTTTTCGTTTTATCAAATTTTATTTTTACCTTATTTTAAAAAGTAATCTACAGGTCAAGCCTTTTAATTTGACATCTCATTATTGAAATTCGAAACAACGGTGCAGATCTGATGACCTTCAAAAAAATGCAATCGCGCGTCATATCTGTATATATAGTAAGATAGAAAAAGTTAACTAAATTCGACTTTAAAACAATTGTAATACTTATTTGAATCTATCAATTTGATTTAATCATATTTTTTAAGTAGGTGGAGCCCTGCGCAAAAATATCTTCGGCTGTAAGCCTTCTTAAACCTCTTTCTTTTGGCACCCATATTGCAACATTTACTTTAACTTATCAATTTACTTAGACAGAAATTTTCGAATTGGTGGCTACTCTCAAA